CCCTCCCCCACATTGATATGTTGAAGTCCTCACACCCTAGTGTGGTTGTATTTGGAGTATGGAAGTTACTAAAGTTAGGTGAGGTCATAAGGGTGATGCACTGATACAATTAGGATTAATATCATTATAGGAAGAGACACCAGAGAGTGTGCTTGATCTTGAATTTTCCAGCCTCCAGAATGGTGAGAAAATAAATTTCTGCTGTTTAAGCCATCTGATCTATAATATTTTGTTATGGCAGCAGAGGCTGGCTAATACAATAGATAAGGCCATTGCCTCTACATATGGTTATTATATCTTCTTGTCTGTAGATTAATAAAGAGCTAATATAGATCTTACTAAACATCTGTTATTGAAGTAATTCCTTGACAGTGATAATTATTTTTCCAAAATTTCATTCTAGTTGCCCCATAATAAAAAAAATTGAGATTTACCTCAACTGTCCCCTCTATTTTTTCAAGGATCCTGCCTTATACTATTTAGCAATGGGCTATTGGCAATTCCTAACAGGCTCTGAGGTGTATACCTTCATGTTTGAGCATTATATTTTCTCTAATTTGAATTTTCTTCTGCCTTCTGCAGAATAGATCCTCTTCTTTCAGTATTCAAGTTCTGTATGACATTTATATTATCTCTGAAGTCTAACCTTGAGAGTCAGAAGAATTCTCTTTCCTCTGACCAAGAAGTGTATCTCACATGTAGTTAACTCACGTAGTTAGACAAGTTACAAGAGACATATAAAAGGAGAGGCCTGGAAGATTCAGAACTTGTCAGATTGAACACTGATGTACAATACTACTTAGGTGTGATTAAGAAAAGAAGTTTCTCAACTACAGAAGTTCTGGGTGATGCCGCGATCCGAGTGTCATCCAGAGATAGAGGTGCTGAAGTAAGGCCTATGTTCTGATGAGTCTCATCCAAACGGATTTTGTATCACCAGGGAAAATTGAAGATTAGAAATACCAGCTAGAGTTCCAAGTTCATTAGATCACACAAGTGACAAGGAAGTCATTAGGATCACTGGATTACAGAGCAGGAATAATTGTATTTGAATTAGTAGTGTTGTGAGAAGTAAACATTTGGTTCATTTTCAAAGTAAGGGGTTTAGTTGTAAGTAGACAACTAGCTAGCATCACAGCTTGCAGACAAGTATCTAGCTAGCATAACGGCTAGGTACATGCTTCTGGAATTTCTTAGGCAAACAGGATATCAGTGGCCAAAACAGTTGAAGCAAATGCAGGTAAAATTGTAACCCTCATAGTTACTCAGCCAAGAACTGGGGGAGGGACTCGCATGCTAGAAAATGAATTGCTTGCTGTAAATCACCCCAAGTGTGCTAGCCCACCAGGCACTGGATCTTGCAAGATCATTAATAAAGTCTGGCTTTCTCTGCACTTCCTTAGTCCTAATTCATCCTGTAGGTAAACGAGTGAGGCTGTTTCTTACAATATGGATTTCAAAAGAGGATGAACCTTGGCATGAGGATGGGAGGGTAATGGTCTAAAAGGGGGAGTGGGATAGCCTAGATCAACAGAGAAGACAATACAGATGGGAATATGAAAAGTCTCCAAAAAGCTCGTGGAAGAATGTATATAATGAAAAACTATACATGGATTTCAAAAATTTTTGGCATGAAAATAAACATTTAATTCCAGTTTCCATAAACATCTTTTAGAGGTATGATTTATTTATTTGAAAGGCAGAGTGACAGAGAGAAGTAGAGGAAGAGAGAAGGAGGAACTGAGGGCAGGAGAAACAGATTCAAAGAGAGACTTTCCATCTGCTGGTTCACTCACCAAATGGCTGCAACAGCCAACCCTGGACCAGGCTGAAGCCAAGAGCCAGGAACTCCATCCAGGTCTCCCACTTGGGTGGCAGGGGAGCAAGCACTCGGGCCACCCTCAGCTGCTTTCCCAGAAACATGAGCAGGAAGCTGGATTGGAAGTGCAGTAGTCAGAACTCCAACCGGCATTCTAATAAGGGATGCCGCTGTTGCAGGCAGTGGCTTAATCTGCTCTGCCACAATTTGTGCTCCTCCAGAAATTTTTTTTAAAAAATTATTTATTTTTGGAGTCACTGTGCACTCACTCCTCATGTAGGATCTCTGTCCTTAATGTGTTGTTCAATGTGAAGTAATGCTATAACTAGTACTCAAACAGTATTTTACACTTTATGTTCTGTGTGGGTGCAAACTGATGAAATCTTTATTTAATATATACTAAATCAATCTTCTGTATATAAAGATAATTGAAAATGAATTTTGATGTGAATGGAATGGGAGAGGGAGCGGGAGATGGGAGGGTTGCAGGTGGGAGGGAAGTTATGGGGGGCGGGAAGCAATTGTAATCCATAAGCTGTACTTTGGAAATTTATATTTACTAAATAAAAGTTTAAAAAATTATTTATTTTTGTTTATTTAAAAGGCAGAGAGAGAATCTCCCATAATTAAATCCCACCTTCCTCTCTCTTTCTAAGACTCTTATGCTATTAAGTTTGAATCCCACTACCATACTGATAGTCTCTGGTTTGTCCTTCAGGATTCACTTGCCAGAATTCCTCATCTGGCTCTGCTCCCTGGGAGTCCATGTCCTCTGGTGTTAGACCAGATTTAGCCAACTGAGAGCCTTGGAAGGGGATTAGAATGAGGAAAGAGAGTGAGACTGGAATTTATCACCCTGACTCCTTCTCTGTGAGGACCTAAAAGATGGCTGTGTTGGGACAGAATGGTCAGAAGGTCACTGCTCCTTCTGAGGATATGCACATTGCATGACTCTATCCAGATCTCTGTACCCTTTCCTTCTTTGTTCATGGCACTCAGTTCAAGCACTGTCTCTTGGGGTCGCCTTCCTTCTGCTTGTACTGTTGGAACTAGTCCATGTGCACTCCCTTAAGTTGAACAAGGCCATTTATGGGAATCCTGATATGTGAGGGTTCTTAGATCAGCTTCACTTCCATATCTCTTCCCCCAGTCTTTCAAAAACATATCAAAGGAAAGATCTGATCATGTCATTCTCCAAATGTGCAAATGCTGTTACAAGATGCAGTATTTTTCCTCAACATTTTCTTGGAAGACCATCATCTTCTGTGGGGAGAACCTCACCTTTTCACATTCTCCCAAAGGGACTCTGCACCTGTCACACCAAGCAACCTCCTTGTCCACAGCAACAGCACTACTTCCTGTCTCCATGCAATTGAGAGAACTGTGTCCTCTATACCATATGCCCGTCTCTGCATTAAGAACAGCTCTTTTAACTGTGCCAAAATAAAAGTCATGGAATCCGAGATGTTTGCTAACCTACCTGAAGCAGTATTCACTGTAACCCTACAGCAAGCTTGTCTTGATCAATTTTTCTATTGCTATAACAAAATACCTGAGGCTGGATGCTTTATGAAGTAGAGACTCCTTTCACTCATGATTCTGGTGATGAGAAGACCAGCCTACATTGTGCTGCTATCCTCACATGGGCTCCCTGGCTGCTTCACTCCATGGTAGAGAAATGGAAAAGGAACAGTTGTGTGTGTGCAGAACGGGCTAATCCTGTGAGATGACCTCATTTTATAACAACCTGCTCTCAAGAAAATAACTCACTCTGTAAGATCAGTTTTAATCCCTTCCAAGCATGGTGGCCCATAACCTAATTACCTTCCCTGAGGCCCCACCTTTTAAAAGTTCCATCATCTCAGGGCAGGCATTTTGAAAAGAGGTAAATATCCCCCAGTCCCACATTGGAGCATCCATGTTTGAGTCCTGAATCTGCTTCTGACTCCAGCTTCCTGCTAATGTGTACCCTAGGATGCAGCAGTTAATGGTTGAAGTACGTGGGTCCCTGCCACCCACATGGAAGACTTAGATTATGTTCCTGGCTCCTGGCATTGGCCTAGCCCAGCCCCAGATGTTGCAAGTATTTGGGTAAAGAACTAGGGGATGGAATGCCTCCATCTATCTCTATCTTCTTTCTTTCTTTCTTTCTTTCTTTCTCTCTCTCTCTCTCTCATTCTCTCTCTTCTCTCTCTCTCTCTGTATGTGTGTGTGAATGTGTGTGTCTTTTAAATAAATGTAAATAAGTAAATTGCAATTTAAAAAGACAAAAAAAATTATACCACCTCAACACTCCACACCTAGTGCATAAACCTTCAAGGGATACACTCAAACCATGTCCACACCACAGCCAACTTCCACTACTCTGTTACACTGCCAACGACACTATACTTCAGTGATTTGCTGGAAGATCTCCCTAGACCTACTATGAGACTCTAATGAAAGGTACATGGTCTTTTTGAATTATGACTTCTTATTCAATGTCTCTTACAAACCAGATGTTCAATAAAATACATAGAATAAGTAACTATGCCATCATGTACGTTGTTACTCTAGAGATCTCACATGTAATTGATGAAGAGATGATCCAGTTGTGAAATCATTTTTTCTGTTTACTTATAGTTCAGCTGACCCATCTGTCCAGGCAGGTGTCCCCATTCTCTCCCAATTACTGATTCCATCTACATCATTCCTAAAACTTCAAGTCAATAAAAAAGCTGCTATGGGCAGACTATTATGAATGTTTACACTAAAAATTAAATTTCATGATCTTTCATCAAGTATTCTCACCCTACAATTCTACCTGAAAAGCCAAATATTTATTGTGCATTTCTGTAGAAGACATTTAATAATTAGCTTTCAAATGAGCAGTAAAAAAACATATTTATATATTCATACCTTTTGACTATAGTTCAATATTTGAGATGTGTAGTGTAGGTGTAATTAAAGTAAACTACAGGAAAAATTCAATTCATTTAATTAGCACATAGGTAATAAAAATATTATACATCACTTGGGTAATTTGGATCTAATACATTTAACAGAGACCATCTCTCCTAAATTTGTGATCCTATGAATTCCTATCGTTCAATGTGCTACCTATAGATAAGATAATGAAATGGCAATTTCCATTAGGATTCACTCAGCACCTTGTCACTATTGAATTCAATGAAAAACTCAATAAATGAAAGCATTGTGTTTTTATTTTTCTCTGGACAGATGAAGTTTTACAATGGAGTGCTGAGTTTTCAGGGGGCATCCACGTCTCTGTGACACTAGCAACTGAGGGTCTGTGCCATGCACTTTTCAGACTGAGGCCCAATCTGGACTGCTGCCCTCTGTCATCCTGTGCGAGCCTATGGCATCCCTGGCCACTCCCCTCTGGCCACAGAGGATGGTGAAGGAGAAACTGAGATGTGTAGAAGGGGTAGCAGTAGGCCAGTCCCTTGGTTCTTCATGCATTTCCTGGAACGCATGGTTTTATGAGATCTTAGCCCATCAGCGACTGGAAGCATCTCTCTTTTTCAGGAGCAAGCAATAAGTAAGAGAAATCAGAGGATGATGGCTGAAATGCAAAAGCACAAATGAGGCACCAATATATCTATAGAAGTAGTACGGAATGCTTATTGTGTCATTATTACGTGTTTCTAAGAATAAGCACAATGTTGTGGGGAAATTGGTAATAAACTTGCTGAGCTTGAACAGAAAACAAGCCCCTGAATGATTCAGATTAACTCAAAAACTACTACCTGGCACAGGGGTATCTTCACAAATGTTCAGTGAAAGACATTATTTAAACCAAATTTTTCTTACAAATTCACATTAAATGCATCAGTTGAGTTGGCTTGTAACAAATACCTATAAGGATTCCTTGTGAACATTATTTTCTGAAGCATACCTAGGTTGTAATTTATCTGAATAGAAATTTAGATTTCTGTATCCAACAATGAGGTCACTTCAGCTGATACATGTAGACTGTTTGGGCTGCTTGGCCCATTTAAAGTGATATGGAGGCAAAGATAATATTTTTATGCCACCTTCACTGTCTTCACCACCTGGTCTCACAGGGCTGACACTGGAGGGTGTTTAACTCCCAGGGCAGACCTCACACACCCCTCCAGGGCAGCCAGTTACAGCAACAAACAATATATTTCACTTTGTGTTTCTATGGGGGTGCAAACTGTTGAAATCCTTACTTAATGCATACTAAACTGATCCTCTGTAAAAAAAAAAAAAAAAAAAATTATCAATTCCCAACTTGACTCTCACTGGGATTAAACATGACAATAGGTCTGATCTGATTTCATCATCATTTTAAAAAAAATCATCTATTATTTTTCACTTTATGTTTCTGTGTGGGAGCAAACTGTTGAAATCCATACTTAATGTATACTAAGCTGATCTTCTGTATATTAAGATAATCGAAAATGAATCTTGATGTGAATGGAAGGGGAGAGGGAGTGGGAAAGGGGAGGGTTGTGGGTGGGAAGGACGGTATGGGGGGAAGCCATTGTAATCCATAAGTCGTACTTTGGAAATTTATATTCATTAAATAAAAGTTTAAAAAAAAAAACAAACTAAAGATAAAAGATTAGATAATCAGTGTCCATTTGTAAGACAGTTTTCACCATGGTAAATTTTGATTGCTCTACCAACTCTTTTGAAAGGCTTGGAAAGTAGAACAAGGAACAAATTTCAGCTCCAGAAACACCTCAATCTTTTTGATCAGCTATGATTGATTTTGTAGCATGTGCTTTGGCTTTTTCAATATTTCATGATAAGTATTTCCATGTTTTAGATGTAGTCCTTATTTTTTTTCAGGATCTACAAATAATTTTATTGCCATGGAACAAGTAACACAACAGGCGCCCTATGCTGGATGCCACTCTCTCCTGGTCATTTCCTATACTTCAGAGGGAGAGTTTACACAGGGAGGAATTAAAATGAAAAATCATCTCTGCCCCAACCTCACCACCGACTATTCACAAACCCCGGCATTTTATTCTACAGTTTTCCCTCCTTTGTGTCCCTACCAAGGGGCTCCAGGACTTTTTCTTGCAGATTCAGAGGAGGGGAGGGCATGCTGGGGGATGAGGTGGTGGCTACTCACAGCTCCTGATGCCAGGAGCCAGCCTGAGGAGTTGTCCCTTATCATGGAATGGGGAACAGCCCCCTCTCAATTGGGGGTCTGGGAGGGCAAAGGCCAGGAGCTTGGTGCAACCCCTACAAGCACAGGTGTCTATAGCCCTCTTGACCTTGGCCTGCACCCTAGAGCAGCAGGGAGGAACAGGTAGGGACCCGTCCACCACTGGGTGAAGGGAGAAGCCCTGTGGGGAGCAACTGGGAGCAACTCGGACTAGACTGTTACTCGAATTAAGACTTATTTTATGCATCTGCTCTCCCACAATATGGCGCTGGGAGAGGAGGAAACAGCTTCTACACAGCTGCCTCCAGTTCAACCAATAAACAGCAGGACCTGCTCCTGATTGAAGGAGAGCAGCGTACTCGGCGTGTGGGTAGCAGAGTTGAGATTGATGGAAGAGGACTATAAAGGAGGAGAGAGACAACATGCACCAGGAACATCTAAGAGGAACACCTGAGCAGCCCCCGAGAGAGCCGGCCGGTGGTGTGCCGCTCCCCCACGGAAGTGGGGAAAGTGGCAGGGGGAACCGCCCTTCCACGGAGGTGGAAGGGACGGTAGCCAACCCGGGAAGAACCAGCAGCAAACCCGGGAAGGGCCGAGCAGACAAAAGAACAACGCAGGGTCCTGTGTCGTTCCTCCACGAAGACGGGGAGCAACATAATGGTGCCGTGACTCGGATATGAAGCCTATGCAGGGTCTAGTGTCGTTCCTCCACGAAGAGGGGGAGCGACAAGCCCCAACAGCAGTCTATTGCCATCAATGCCAGCAAACTCTCCATCCGTGGAGGGTGGGAACAAATGACAGGTGGGGAGGAAGAATGAGGCTGGTGCTGCCTCCCAACCTCCACCCAACACAGGAGAAATCCAGGCAGCAAGGGGCAGAATGGTCTGAAGATGGGGAAGAAAGGGAAAAGCAGTCCCCGCCTGTGTATGGCCTCCCAAGGCCCAGGGGCTGGAATGCGGCAGATGGTTGCTTCTTCCAGGGCTGGGCCCCAGGCAAGTTTGGAAGAAAGCAGGCCAGGCAAGAACCACCAGGCTTTCCTGAGCAGTGTAAGGCCTGCAGTGCTTCTTGCAGGGTGGCCTGAGAGGGTGGGCTGGGAACTCTGCCATGAGTCTATGCCAGACACAACCACCTCTGCTCCACACACAAACTGATGCCCAGTCCCCTCAGCAGGGCTGCCCCCACACACAGCACAGGCTCGGCGGACTGTGCCGATCCGAAGCCAGGAGCCAGGTGCTTCTTTCTGGTCTCCCATGCTGGTACAGAGGCCCAAACACTTGGGCCATCCTCCACTGCCTTCCCCGGGCCACAGCAGAGAGCTGGACCAGAAGAGGAGCAACCAGGACCAGAACCTGGCACCCATGTGGGATGCTGGCGCCACAGGCGGAGGATTAACCCAGTGAGCCATGGCACCGGCCCCTCTGCTGAGTTCTTTAAGATTAATTTTTCATTATTTATTTATTTATTATTTGAAAGATAGCATTACAGAAAGAAAGATGGAGAGACAGAGAGAAAGAGATTTTCCATCCACTGGTATACTTCCCAAATGCCCGCAATGGCTGAGGCTGGGCCAGGAAGAAACCAGGGTCCTGGAACTCCATCCTGGTGTCCACATAGGAGGCAGGTGCCCAGGCACTTGGGCCATTTTATGCTGCCTTCCCTGGTGCATGAGCAGTGAGCTGGACCAGAAGAGAAGCAGCTGGGACTATGATAGGGATGTCGGCCTCTCTGCTGAATTCTTGGAGAGAAAACTAGACAAAGCATAAAGCAATATTATCATTTGTAAGTGGTATAATGGGAATTACAAAATGCTTTGGAAACATACTGAAAAGAGAAATTAATTTGCCCAGAGCAAAGACAAGGAAAACTATGAAAAGATATTAGATATGCAATTTGGAAATTGGTAGAAATTAGCCATTTGTGGGAAAGATGTTAATTGCAAAGAGAAGAGAAATTTTGATTCACAAAGATGCTAGGACAGAAAACATGGAAGATAGGTGGAGATGAATTTTATGATAAATGTTGTTTAGGAGTCACGAGTTTTGTTAGACTAACGGCTCCCTTACCATGACCCTATTCCTGAGTGAGGACTGATTCATCATCTCTCCCTCCCATGCCTTGTTGCACACTTCAAAACATTTTTATACTGAATGTGTTTTGTAAATCATAAACTGTCAGAGAAATATTAAGTATTAGCTCCAATGGGTTCCAAGATAGAGCCATGGACTTTAATATGCAACATAATTATCCTAGCTTTTCAAACTGCAATGTCCTAAAAGTGATCATTGGATGACATGAATAGAATGCTGATGGTATTTATGTCAAATAGATGTGATAAATGCTAACATTGTGGAAACAAAGAAAATCACACAGGCAAAAAAAAATCATTTTAATCTAATGTCACAAAAGAAGACTTAGTAGTTTTGTAAAAGGAAAGAGACTGTAAATCATTTGTATTTTATACTGTATTTTGCATTTCATATTTACCAAATGGGTCGTTTGACATCAGCCATTAAAACCCCATGCTTTCTTTTTTTTTTCTATTTTTTTTTATTTAATGAATATAAATTTCCAAAGTACGACTTATGGATTACAATGGCTTCCCCCCCATACCGTCCCTCCCACCCACTACCCTCCCCTTTCCCACTCCCTCTCCCCTTCCATTCACATCAAGATTCATTTTCGATTATCTTAATATACAGAAGATCAGCTTAGTATACCTTAAGTAAGGATTTCAACAGTTTGCTCCCACACAGAAACATAAAGTGAAAAATAATAGATGATTTTTTTTAAATGATGATGAAATCAGATCAGACCTATTGTCATGTTTAATCCCAGTGAGAGTCAAGTTGGGAATTGATAATTTCTTTTTTTTTTTTTTACAGAAGATCAGTTTAGTATACAGTAAGTAAAGATTTCAACCGTTTGCACCCCCATAGAAACACAAAGTGAAATATACTGTTTGAGTACTCGTTATAGCATTAAGCCTCAGTGTACAGCACATTAAGGACAGAGATCCTACATGAGGAGTAAGTGCACAGTGACTCCTGTTGTTGACTTTACCAATTGACACTCCTGTTTATGGCATCAGTAATCTCCCTATGCACCAGTTATGAGTTTCCAAGGCTATGGAAGCCCCTTGAGTTCTCCGACTCTTATCTTGTTTAGACACGGTCATAGTCAAAGTGGAGGTTCTCTCCTCCCTTCAGAGAAAGGCACCTCCCTCTTTGAAGACCTGTTCTTTCCACTGGGATCTCACTCACAGAGATCTTTTTGCCAGAGTGTCTTGGCTTTCCATGCCTGAAATACTCTCATGGGCTTTTCAGCCAGATCCGAATGCCTTTAGGGCTGATTCTGAGGCCAGAGTGCTATTTAGTACATCCGCCATTCTATGAGTCTGCTGAGTATCTCACTTCCCATGT